AAGCTCCGCCCCGGGCACTACTCGATCAACCAATGACGAGCGAGAATAATGGTCATGAGCACGTGGCTGTGTGGCAATGTTCCACCTCCCTCAGGATGGTCTATCGTACACCTTCAGAGACTTGGGTGATTGACGTTGTTTTGGTGTGAAAATTTGGACCATGGTTATACTAAGTGTCAGTTTAGTGGAGTCACCTTCTTCATCTGGATTATTGTTTCGTGTCGACAGGATACAACTAGGTGCTCAATACAGGTGAGTCTGTACTGATGGCGATTGCATTTTGTTGTTAATGTTAACTTAAAATACTCCTATGGATATGGCAGTAACTTAAAAAAATAAAATGTTATGTAAAAATCACCAGATATAATGTATTTGAGAAATAATCGACGCTTGAGAGATGTTCGACGATATATGTATTGTTAAGTATGTCTGTGACGACTCGTAAGAGGTCCTTCTCCTGCAGGTGGCCAGACAGGTGTTGATGCTCTGGGCGTTAGCATGCAGCAGCTAGTGTGTCGCGCTACCCCCTGGACAGGATGCTAATACACTGAAGGTTTCATCTATAATCGGACAAGTACAGTCTCCTTCACTAGTGCGTTTACAAGGGCTCGTCATATAAGCGTTCCACAAATCTTAGGAATATTTGTTTTAATATATTTTTTTTCATTTGATTCCACAATATGTTTACTACTACGAGTTTCCTTCTGTCGAATGTAAACAAACACAGGGGCTGTCACACTGCACAAAACCTGACGAGCCCCTGTTAACGCACTAGTGAAGAGGACTGTACATCCGACAGCTTACTTATTTTATACTCAACTACAATCAAAATTAAAATACAAAAACTAATAATTAACTTGGGGGAAATAATAATTCAGTTAATATTATCCAGTCAAAAGCTACATTAACACAAGCTGTCCACTTGCCCCCACCGTCACTTGTTAAAGATGGACTGACCCTCGTTCACCACCTGATGAGATGAATGATTGAGTGAATGTGATTGAATGATTGAGTAAGACAGTCAGTCAAAATAAGAAGTCAAATAACCAATGATTGACTTCACCAAAAAAAAACCCACTTAGCCAGCCAGACGTAGAGTTTAATACCCTAACAAGTACAGTTACTCGACATAAGTGAACCCAAACTGGCTCAGTCGATTGTCTGGAACACTGGTCGAGACGGAAAATCGAATTTCACACTCAAATACACTGAACGAACACGCGGCGACGCACACATAAACACATATTAGAGCATCACTTGGTAATGCCCAGTCCCACATTCTGATACACAGCTTGTTTAATGCTCACCAGTAAACGGGAATGTATTTGTGTGTGTTGTGTGTAAGTGTGCGTAAGGAAGTGTCTCTCTGTGTGTGTATGGAAGTGTTTGTATATGGAAGTGTTTCTGTGTATGTATTTGTTTGTGTGTATATAAGTATTTCTGTGTGTATGTAAGTGTTTCTGTGTGTATGTAAGTGTTTCTGTTGGTAAGTGTTTCTGTGTGCATGTGTTTTTATGTGTATGTAAGTGTTTGTGTGTATGAAAGTGCTTCTATGCGTATGTAAGTGTTTCTATTGGTATGTAAGTGTTTGTGTGTATGTACCCGTGTTTGTATAAGATTAAACAATACACAGGAATACTTAATAAATGAAAATCATCATATAAAAAAGAAAGCTTATGAAAACAGGAATCTAGACTGAGAACAAAAAACAACAACACAATCATTCCCAACTCACGGTGAAATTATCGAGTTTCTAAAGTTCTCTGTTTGTGGTGTGGCCAGGTGTGACGGCCTCCCTGATCACCCAAGTCAAGTCATTAACCTGCCGGGGATTAAGACCGACTCTCCACCGACTGCATACAAGCTGGCAGTAGGGGTAACACACTCCTCCCCTCCCCCTCCCTCTCTCCCTCCCCTCCCCTCTCTCTCTCCCTCCCCTCCCTTCCTTCCCTCCTTCTTTCTCACTCTCCAGCAGGCAACTCCGTCATCGCCCCGGCACCACCAACCCCTAACGAAGAAACCTGGGTGGCCCTAACCAATCCTTCCCTCTACCCTTTGTTTATCGAGCCAATTAAGACAGAAACTCCCATTAAGGGGAAAGTATTATAGGTGCAGAGGTCAGGTCACGCTGGGTTAACAAGGATATTGTTATATCATTACAGACTTTAGTTATTTGTTGACTTACTATTGCATTTATGGAAGTATATCTGCAATAATCTCTACTTTGTCTCTGTGAAACGTGATTATTCAGTGATACAACCAACAGCTAACGTTAGGTAATATCCCCCGAGCTACCTGTGTTATTGAGAGGCCAAATGAGTGTAGAAGGACCATTGGTATTCTCCTCACGGGTAGATATATATTACCTTATAGAATGGTCGTTTCCTGCTGGCCGTGGCTGTAGACGATGGCAGAGGGAGGTCGACCTTTCTCTATATGACTTGTGGCTCTCTCCGTATTGCCATTGACCCTCTCAATACGACCTGGGCCCCTGGTGTATGTCCAACTATCTGTTCTGCGTTCTTCTACATATGGTTTGATATGGGACTTTAATGTCATCTGTTTTCCAATCTATCTGTCAGTTTATGGTCCCACATATAATGGAGAAAATATTATACGTAACGTCCATCATAATAATAACTTGAACAAATTAGATCAGATACACTTGATACGTAATGAAGACACGTTAGGTTAGCTCTGTATGCTATTAATAACCTGTTTTTACTCTATGTAGTTATATTTTGAACCTCAGACAATTTAGACGTTCTAAAAATTTATTACTCCTTATAGACCTCCATGTGTATTCAGACACAACACTGAAGTTAAGACTAATTGTAATTATGAATTGAACTATTTTAGTGCAAAATCTGACCATTACGACGACACATGAAATAAACAACAACAAACAAACAAACAAACAAATATGAAAACTACAAATTTCCCTCTGGGTGAACCTAATAGCAGAGCCCTCGATAAAACGGACAAAAGTGCCTTACCATATATGAGGAGAGAGCGGCTGATGACTCCCTTAAAAATGATCATAAGTCCATTAACACGAGGCAGCACTTTGGAAAACGAGACACGGTTAATCTATAGACTGAACGACTGTCAAATAAGTTATAACGTCCTATGGGTGATGTTTGTCCTTTGATTTTATTTAATATTCCCGAGTTTTATTCATTTTATTAGCGCATTAGCTCATTTGTAGATTATTTTAACCTTGTGAGCTAAGTATCCTGAATTCCACTTCCCTAGTCTGCGTGGGGGATAGTAACCTCTTGTACATTACTGCAATATATGTGTTTACTATTCATTACACCTGTCGATACTACAATAATCCTTCAGTCAACTAGTCAAGGGTATTTGGGAGGACGGGGAGCCACCAGGTGTAAGAGTATCAAGAATCAATGGATCAACAACACCTGTACAATCAATGTATTATCACAGGTAAAAGTTTGTTTACGTGAAAAAAAATAAGCCAAAACGATTAGGATATTTTAGTTTCCTTAATTTGCACGAGTCTGAACTTCATTTGTTTTTATGTCACGTACTACTCATCTATGTGTTGTGTTATCATACAATATACTTAACTCCGCATCATAATAATCTACGTTTATATAGCACACGTTATCTTTTATATTGAGTTGTAATGTATGAATCTAATGCAAACAAACATCAAAGTCAACGATATCACACACACACACACACACACACACACACACACACACACACACACACACAAAGACACTCTGAATGCTTCAATGTATCTAATTGACATCAATATATTACTAAACTTTAATTTAATCTTTCCATTGTTGTGAATAAGAAAGAAATGTGTCAATTATATCAAAGATTAACACTGACAGTTTCACATGGGTTAATGCTAGTTATATACTCCTATCTTATCTCTTACTCAGACAATAATACAATAATAATAGTAATTTTCGTGATAATGTGAATAATAGTAACGATACAATAAAGTTAATAAGAGTAATAATAACACATGCTTATAATAATGATAATAACAGTAATAACAATAATGATGATAATGTTAAGTAACAATCATAATAACATTGGAAAGATAGACCCTGAGCAAGGCATTTGACCTGCCTCTCTGTGCTGACAAGAGAGGTCGGCCTCAGTGAAGAACGAGCCTGTGTGTTGGAGGCGCGGCAGGTCTTCCTCACACTAGTTCCTCCATCCTGATTATGTCTCACTAAGTTCCTCCATCCTCATTATGTCTCACTAAGTTCCTCCATCCTGATTATGTCTCACTAAGTTCCTCCATCCTCATTATGTCTCACTAAGTTCCTCCATCCTGATTATGTCTCACTAAGTTCCTCCATCCTGATTATGTCTCACTAAGTTCCTCCATCCTCATTATGTCTCACTAAGTTCCTCCATCCCCATTATGTCTCACTAAGTTCCTCCATCCTGATTATGTCTCACTAAGTTCCTCCATCCTGATTATGTCTCACTAAGTTCCTCCATCCTGATTATGTCTCACTAAGTTCCTCCATCCTGATTATGTCTCACTAAGTTCCTCCATCCTCATTATGTCTCTCAGGTGACTCTCAAAACAAATCATCCTTAATAAGTTCCTCCATCCTCATTATGTCTCACTAAGTTATCCTCTTATGTCTCACTAAGTTCCTCCATCCTGATTATGTCTCACTAAGTTCCTCCATCCTGATTATGTCTCACTAAGTTCCTCCATCCTGATTATGTCTCACTAAGTTCCTCCATCCTGATTATGTCTCACTAAGTTCCTCCATCCTGATTATGTCTCACTAAGTTCCTCCATCCTGATTAGCTCACTCTTTTAATTTCATGCTCTGTAAACACAATTGCCTCAAATAATCTCTTGTGATTTCCATGTCTAATGGGAAGAATGCGGCTCTGTGTCACCATTGTGGGGTCGGGCAGGTGTGTTTAGGTTTGTATCTGGCGATGGTGAACTTGTCGTCGCTCGTAGTGCCAACCAAAGATCCCACGGAGGTATGTTGCTACAGCGAATAGTTCATACCCCAGCAAGAGGCCCTCACTACCCCCAGCAAGAGGCCCTCACTACCCTCCAACAAGAGGCCCTCACTATCCTCCAGCAAGAGGCCATCACTACACCCCAGCAAGAGGGCCCTCACTACCCCCGGCAAGAGGCCCTCACTACCCCCAGCAAGAGGCCACTCACTACATCCCAGCAGAGGCCCTCACTACACCCACAAGAGGCCCTCACTACCCCCAGCAAGAGGCCCTCACTACTCCCCAGCAAGAGGCCCTCACCCTCAGCAGACCTACCCCTGCAGCAAGAGGCCCTCTCTCCCCCAGATAGAGGCCCCACTACCCCCAACAAGAGGCCCTCACCCTCAACCCAAGAGGCCCCACTACCCCCAGCAAGAGGCCCTCACCCCAGCAAGAGGCCCTCCTACCCCAACAAAGAGGCCCTCACTACCCCCAGCAAGAGGCCACTACTCCCCAGCAAGAGGCCCTCACTACCCCAGCAAAGGCTCTCACTACCCCCCAGCAAGAGGCCCTCACTGCCCTCCAACAAGAGGCCCTCACTACTCCCCCAACAAGAGGCCCCTCACTCACCCCCAGCAAGAGGCCCTCACTACTCCCCAAGAGGCCCACTACAACAAGAGGCCTCACTACCCCAGCAAGAGGCCTCTAGCTAGAGGCCCTCCCCCCAGCAAAGGCCCTCACTACCCCCAGCAAGAGGCCTCACTACTCCCAGCAAGAGGCACTCCACTACCCCCAGCAAGAGGCCCTCACTACCCCCCAGCAAGAGGCCCTCACTACCTCTAGCAGAGGCCCCACTACCCTCAGCAAGAGGCCTCCTCCCAGCAAGAGGCCCTCACTACCCTACAAGCAAGAGGAGCAAGAGGCCCTCACTGCCCCAGCAAGAGGCCCTCACTACCCTCAAGCAAGAGGCACTCCCTAGGCCCACCCCCAGCAAGAGGCCCTCACTACCCCAGCAAGAGGCCCTCACTCCCCCAGCAAGAGGCCTCTTCTCTCCCACAAGAGGCCCTCACTACCTCCAACAAGAGGCCTCACTGCATACACTACTCATCCAACAAGGGCCATCACACACCCAGCAGGCCCTCACACCCCAACAAGAGGCCTCACTACCCTCAAACAAGAGGCCATCACTACACCCCAGCAAGAGGCCCTCACTACCCCCCAGCAAGAGACCCTCACTACACCCCCAACAAGAGGCCCTACTACGCCCCAGCAAGAGGCCTTCACTACCCCCACAAGAGGCCCTCACTGCACCCCAACAAGAGGCCCTCACTACCTCCAGCAAGAGGCCCTCACTACACCCTAGCAAGAGGCCCTCGCTACCCCAGCAAGAGGCCCACAGGTACTCCCCCAGCAGACGCCTCACAGGTACTCCCGAGCATATGGGTGACAGATGATCCCGGAGGAAAAGGTTCGCCATCATTCCACAAAATAAGTAATTAACAGGGACTCCCCTGTACATAGATATATATTTTTAATGTGTAGCATATATATGATCTTCTGTATCTTAGAGTGAGCGCTTTAAAACCTCAATTGTTGACGTGCAGAGATCCATTAAACCATAATCATCATCACCGTCACCAGCATTTAGTCTGCCAAGCAAATTGGTCGCGTCTATCTCGTCGTTGTTCTGATTTTAGTGGCAGCTGATATGCTATAAATAATGAGTTGTTGGGTCACACCCCCTCCCTGTCTGGTAATGTACAGGAGGACCCCCCCCCCCCAATCTTGCCAGTGCACAGGACCACGCCCTCACCCTGCCTAACAGTGCAGAAGGATACGCCCCCACCCTAATTGGCAATGCACATGACCACGCTCTCACTCTGATTGGCAGTGCACAAGGCCATGTCCCACTTTGCCTGGCAGTACACAAGGCCACACCACACCTCTACCTAACAATGTAATTGGCAACGCTGCCGCCCTTTAAACTTAATTAATTAACGAAGAAAAAAATGCTTATGCTCATTTCCTGTCTGATAACCACGGCCTGGCAGTATACAGAACCACGTCTCCTCCCTGCCATGAAATATACAGAACCACGTCTCCTCCCTGCCTAACAATAAACAAAACCACGCCTCCTCCCTGCCTAACAATATACAGAACCACGCCTCCTCCCTGCCTAACAATATACAGAACCACGCCTCCTCCCTGCCTCCTCCCTAACAATATACAGAACCACGCCCCCTCCCTGCCTAACAATATACAGAACCACGCCTCCTCCCTGCCTAACAATATACAGAACCACGCCTCCTCCCTGCCTAACAATATACAGAACCACGCCTCCTGCCTGCCTAACAATAAACAGAACCACGCCTCCTCCCTGCCTAACAATATACAGAACCACGCCTCCTCCCTGCCTAACAATATACAGAATCACGCCCCCTCCCTATAAGGCCGGCAATAGCGTCCGTATCATCTAAGACCCATGTTGTAATTATCGGGGGGAGTTGCAGCTAATTATATCGTGGCGGGAACAGTGAGGGTCGGGGGCGTCTGGTGGGCGGGTCTAGGTGGCCAGGGGAGTGTAGGGCGTGCCTGGCGTCCCACTGCCTGGCCACCTCCTCCTCCTCCTCCTCCAGTATCTAGGACATCTCCTGGGGATAAATCATCGTCGTGGGGTTATAAAGATCACTCCATAGTAATGAGGCGATGTGTTTAAGCTGCATTTATTGCCATTTAATCGCCAGCAGGGGGTACCTCGTATCGGCAAAGTGAAGGGTTTTATAACTGGGTGAGATTATTTTAAGAACTACGCGATGTGATGCCACTGTGTTATGGTTCGCTGTTCACTCTTATCTTTATTAATATCGAGGCAAATCAGAGAAGCTTAATGAAGAGCCTCTCAAAAGGTACATGGTCTCTATACCACTGATCCACAATAACATACAATGAACACCGCCTAAATGGATACCACTTTTTCAGACGATCTTTGTATTTTTTACTTATTATTATTTTCGTTTAAGCTGAAGTCTGAAGATTATTCTCATTGTATTGGAAAATTCTTGGCTTACGTGTGTGGTTATTTAGAAGTCATAATTCTAATGCTTAATGAGAGAGAGAGAGAGAGAGAGTAAACAGCCAAGCGGACCACCCACAACAAAGAAGAGATTACCGAGAAAGAACAATTATTTACCACCTACGATCATTTAATTCTTTTTTATATTTTTGTCTCCTTTCCTGAATGATCTGTAACGAGAGAGAGGCAAACTGACTGCGCCACTTCTTCACAAATTTGTCACGCCGTCGAGTTAAAAATGGATAACTATTTTTTCTAAGGAAGATGCGTTACGAATGACAAAATTTCCATTAACATTTGAGTGCCATTTGTCAACCCTGACTGATTAACCTTAATAAAACTTAAAAACTTTAATGGAGTTATTAATCGGAACTTTCATTGTGCTCCATCACCAAAATAAAAATCCTCAATGCATGGGAGTTCATAATTCGGTTAAATACGGTTCTACAACGGTGAAATTAGTTACGGTTCATGTATTAGTCTGGAGATTCGGTTACAAATACAAATACAGACATAGATATAAACTACAGATATTACAGAGTCACAACGATATGTAAATAATATGAGAAAAAAAAATTCACTTGTAGTTTGTTATATATCATCTTGTAAACAGAGAATGGAGAGTTGTATCGTTCACATGGAGATTGTGTTAGATAAGAGTACGATTATGTTATCAATGAGAGGAGGAGAAGGCGGAAGAGGAGGGGGAAGAGGAGAAGTAGGGGAAGGGGGGAGGAGGAGGAAAAAGGGGTAGAAGAGGAAGACGTGGATGATGAAGAGAAGGAATAGGATGGGGAAGAGAAGTGAGGAAGACTAAGGAACAAACAACTGTATCTTTCTGCTTGAAGTCGTTCTTGTGGCTAACTTAATCACCAACTACGAACAAGCATCATCCAAGCACAAACACGGCAGATTGAGGTTACATAGTGTGTGCACAGAGAGTAAAAACGTGCATTACGACACTCACAATGGCTAAGATAATATTGCAAGAGTCAATTGAACATCCGGGGTAAACTCAACTAGGCAACGCCCCTCTGTCATCAATTATCTTGCAATTTTCCATCAACTCACTTAGATTTGTAGAGATGAAAGGGATAAATTGTCTTTGTGTCGAGACTGTACTGACGGAAGTTCATATGTGGATTAACTCTTCCTCTTTTAAAAATGTTACATAACTATTATTGGTATTGTGAATAAATCTGCAGTTTGTTTTTTTTCTAATTTCTTTCATTTTTTTAAGATATTCGACAGACCTCTCTAGCAACACGTATGATAACCTTTGTTTGGGTTTCTCTATGCACCTGTGTGATGACCGTCCTATCTAGTTTTTTACATTACCTATATACATGAATCTTTTGGGAATATAAAAAACAAAAAGGTGACAAGATAAAAGAAAAAAAAGGAAGCTTGTTCTATAATACACACTTTCAGGAGCATCAGTGGGAGGTTAGGTAGTAAATCCCAGTCTTCATATAACACAACCTAACCTAACCTAACCTAACCTAACATAACCTAACCTAACATAACCTAACAACGTCCTAATAAACACTCCCTTACTCAGCCTCACATAACAGGTAGTCGACTTGAACCACTGTCTTAACCACCCTGTTAGAGTCCCTACACCAGCTCTCTCCTCTCCGCGGCGTCTCCCTCTTAGCTTGACCAGCCGGTGAGCTATAACCTAATCTAGTAGGCAATACAACCTTCCTATTAACGAGCTATTACGTGTGAGGCACCGGCCGTGGGGGGGTGGGGTGGGGCTAAGAGAGAGAGAGAGAGAGAGAGAGAGAGAGAGAGAGAGAGAGTTGAGAAGTCCTTATAGGCGAGAGGGAAGCATCCAGGGATTGAAGGGAGAGTCAGAGATCCAACGGCCGTGACGTCGTTCTAGGGTTCGGGAAAAAAGAGAGATCCAAGAGGCGAGGACGGAGTAAAGAGCTCGAGGAATGTTTCAGGGTCGAGAAGGGAAGTGGTTCAGGAGTCGAGGTATTAATGTTATTGTTGTATCCACACTGTTCCCAAGCGAGTCGTCAGGGCAATGGGAACCACTTTTATTCTTAAATACGTTCAGGATACAAATTCAATTGATTTCACCTTCAAGAATTTAAGTCCATCCAATATGTAAACTTTATTATCAACAGACAGACAAACAGATTTGGCCCTTAATAATATAATATAACGTCATAAGGACATTACCGTTTCATGCTTTGTTGTTGGAAGCTGAACGAATGAAAAAGTATATAGCGGCAACTGTTGATGCTCTCAACCTAATTCAACAGAACTTCCAATCACAAGCATTAATACTACGAACAATGATATAACCAAGCAGTACTACCGGTTGAGGGCCACTACAGTGTGACCGGAACGATGGAAGCCTTGAGGGCCGACAACAACACAGACTGGGATTTCCTCGGGCTCGGAGCGGCGCGTCGCTAAGCACAATGCGGAATGATCCATTATAAGAGACGGTTAACCTAATGGGATAATTATAGCCCTCCTGGACAGATCACAGCCAGGCCGAGGTAGTCGCGTTTTGACTTGTGATGCTGACTCTTCCAGACCCTCTGTTGTTTATTTCCCGAACGAGAAATATAGTCATTGTGAAGTCGGCAGGGCTTCATTAGTACCGTGGATGGACTCCAG